CCTCATATACGTTCAAACGATATACTTTCGCCCATTACACGAACGATTGATTTTGGCCTCTCGTTTCAATGCTAAATCGGTTCAGAAAAAGAAGGTTCATCTACGCATGCGTGATGAATCGATCGTTTCACTACTCATTAGATTCATAGGAAATGAACAGCATGATTTCAATTCGATATTTGAATCTAATTCGAGAGAAAAAAAAAAAAAAAAAATAAACGCGTATTGATATCGATTCAAAGGAAAGAAAATTGCAATTTGTGATCAAATTTTTAATATCGTAGCTAATATACGTTATCCAAAGTGAAATTAAATTGTTGAGATTGATCATCTTCAATTTTTCTAACTTTCTCGAGAAATATCGAATTGATTCAATTCGTGCTACGTTTTCCTTGATTATTACGATTTACTTTAATCATATTTCTCATTCTTCCATCTCGTATCACCCACACGTATCAGCATGCACCCTCGAAATGATTATCTAGAGTTTCCTCCCCCACGAGTCGATTCGAAATTCATATTTTCGGCATCTCATATAGCTTCGAGACTTATATTTCCGGCGATATTTTTTTTTTTTTTTATCTTTTTTTTCGAATGATTTCGTTTTTTCCCCTCCTTCCTTCTTCATTCGCTATTTTTTTTTTTTCTGTTTATACAAAGAATACACCGTTGCGGCTATACGAAACTAGAACGGTATTATTTTTGTCTACACGTGAATAATTCCATGAGTCGTGTGGTTTGTAACGCTATCGTAAACACAAGAGTGAGTCTTGTTTCCATTTCCATGTCCCGATCAATGGTATTGAGCAATGTACTGACATCGAATCGATCGTTTGAGAGATATATCTTTGTCCTCTTTCTTCTCTCCTTTTTTTTATATATATAAAAAAATTAGAATAATTAAAAAATATCAAAAATTATATTATTTAAGTAAGAATAAATCGATTTTAATCACCTTGATATGTTTTATCAAGATCAACATTATGAGTTATCATATTCATATAACATATAATTGTTGGTCAATTTTAATTTTAGAGGAAATAATAACAATACAAATTTTAATTCATATTTCTAAAATTTAAGTATATCTTTACTACAAATTACTTTTTTATCATTCAAGAAACTCGTTATTAATATTAATATTTAAAATTAATACTTAAAAATAAAATCTATCTTTTAATTCGAATAAATTAAAATAGAATTATATCATAATTAAAATTTTCTCTATTATGAAATTATTATCTGATTTGATATTTGATTGAAATTCAAATCTAATATCAATCAATTAACAATATCCGATAGTTTGAATAATTTCGAAAATATTAATTGCCAATTGTTCTAGCTTCTAGTCGAAATTAATCAAATTACGAAATTGCTAATCTTGTTAATAATTTGTAATATCACGAAACGTATATATATTTCCCAACCAATCGATCCAATCAATATATTAACGTGCTAGACTTACTCTTTACGAATTAGAAATCGTAAATATCGTCCTATTGGTCTTTTACACTACTTAATCTTTTTTCACTACGTGGCGGTTAATCAGTGTTATTGCTGCTAAAAGTTCATTCAACAGGATCCTGCTGCCTCGCTAAAATGTATTATTTTATCGTAGACAATAAATTATGCTCGCCGATCTCTCCATTCTTTGTCAACGTCGAGGAAAACGCAAGCGTACGTATTTTTTTTTTTTCTTCTTTTTTTACTTTTACGAGGAAAAAAAAAGCTTCCACTAACGACCTGTGTACCTCTCGTGTCGATCAAATTAACGAATATTCGTTATCACGTGGATGCAATAAACACATCAAACATTTGATCTAACCCGATATTTCTCCCGATATTGTTTGACTTACTTCACGAGAGATTTAAAAAAAAAAAAAAAAAAAAAAAAAAAAGTTTGACCACCACGAATCTTCGTTAATCCTCTGTCCACGATCCCCTAACAATCCTCTGTCGAAGGTTCGTACAGAATGATGGTGCGAGTCGTCGAAGGCGCCTTGGTTTCTTTTATATATATATATAATATATGTATATAATATATATGTATAGTCGTTAACAATGTTAATTACAGGTACCTAAAAATTTCTCGCACGCGTTCTCCACGTCGGAAAAAAGTAAGAAAAGTCGAAATGTTCGTTACAAGCTAGGACAGTCTACGCTAGTTTTCGGTATCATCATTCTTCTTCTTATTCGCTGCGCGTTTTCCTTCCATTATTCTCTCTCTCTCTCTCTCTTTTTTTTTCCTTTTCAATCTTTTGATCAATCGACCGCTCTCTTTCTCTCTCTCTCTCTTTCTCTCGTCTCGCTATCTATTCCGTGATATCGTTACAAAGTCGATAATGGAAAAATGTCGTTTACATAAAAAGAAAGACGCTTGCGAGAATTGATCTCTTCGTCGAGTAAACCGCTAGGGAAATCGGTGTAATATTTGATGTATGCGAGCACACGACGCAATATTATTTACAATGTCTTCGAGATAATAGTAATTGATCCGATATTTATATCCCACAACTCGTTTCCTTGTGCAATTATTAGATTCTTTGCAATTTGTGTATATATATATATACACGTTCAGATTTTTTTTCACTTCTTTTCTTTTTGTTTTCTCGTTGATTGTTCGCTACACCGTTTCGTAGATCTTGAATGACTTTAGGACAATGTTCGAGAGCGATTGGCAAACCGGATGAAATTTTTCTTTTTCCCTCTTCTGTTCTTTTCAAGTATCCATCCATTCGATCATCTAATTTTCAATTACATCCCGCAAAGAGATTTCCCATTTTCTAGATATGTGGAAGTACGTTTCCTACGTTCCCTCACATTCCCACAGTTCTTTATTTTTACGATTTTACCGACTAAAAATTGTTTATTGCTACGTCTCGACTACTATATCGAAAAGGGAATTTGGCAATTATAGTTTCACAGTGTGTCGTAATGGTTCAGTACAAAGTGGCTTGGCAGTGTTTAATATTGGTGAGCGTAATAAACAGATCTGCCAATTTATCCGGATCCTTGATGCTTTATCTAATTGAGACGATATTCGAATATCCAAATTTGATCGAATGTTTAAAATTATATTGTATACGTTTATTGTTATTATAGTATTATTAATATTTGATAAAAAGTATTGTTTAGAAATTTTTCCAGATAATAATGTGATGAGAAAGAATTTAACAGAGATATTGAATAAGAAAAAGAAATTTATTTTGGATATTCTTGAAAATTATATTTAATTTTTTTATTTAGAAAAAAAATACTTGACAAGAAGACAATTAATACTCTTTCTCAAATATTTTATAAAAAGTTAAATTATAAATTTTTATGATAACATAAAAATGCATTTATAAATAAAAATATATAAATGAAAATAGTTTAGCTTACTTTTTCTATTTTCCTATTTAAAAAAAAAAGGAATTTTTAAAAATCTACAACATCATCATTTTATCATCAAATCTACTATTTTCCAAAAATGTTTTCATATTACTATTGATATTAAAGGATATAATAAGTTTAATTATTGAATTATTGTTGAGTTTTTTCATATATAAAATATCAATTCTATTTGTACATTATTCGATAAAATTAATTGGATATTCGAATATCAAAAATACCCGGATACTCGCAGTCCTAATAAGGTGTTCCTTTTACAAATGAACAAGCAGTGGCGTGAAATAATAGCGTCATGCATGTGTAATAGAAGCCTTGTTATAATAAACGCTATAAGAACAGTATTCAAGGATCTCAGTCGAAGGATTGGAAACATTCAATAAGTGACGAACAAGTCTTTCATTTTAATGGTCTTTGGCAACGAGCTCTATACGACAAAATTCTCTCTGCCATTTGTAAATATAGAAACTCTAAAAAGCTTGAAACAATCGAATATACGCAAATATTAGTTTCTGTGATTCTCTGGTTCGAAAAATTTCTAGTTAAATATTACAAAAGTTTCATCATCTCGTCGATTTTTTTTTTCTAGTTCTTCGCATCTTCCCTTTTTTTTTTCTTCTTCTTATTTTCCATCGTTTAATTCCTTGGTCTTAAGCGCACTTGTTAAATTGATATTACTTTAGAAGCAAGCATTCAAACGATCGTTATATTTTTGTAAGATTGCATTCTAGATATAATTATCTTCGCCAATTTCATTGATCTTAAAATTTTCTTCTACAAGACAAATTTTTAAATCGAGTGTTAAATTTATCAAAAGAAAAAAAAAAATATTTAATAAGAAAATAAGAAAAAATTTTTTGATCACTTGATATTTTAATTATTCCCCTTCAAGGAAATTTAATAATTCATTAAGTTAGAAAATAAAATTCATCGTACGATAAACAATATAACGTAAAATTTATCAATGTATCATTTGATCGTTGAATAGTGATCAACGATAGATCTTTTTCTAGTCGTCATTTGAATGCATACCACTTATATAGTATCCATCGCTTCAGATCTTATATAATTATTCCAAGGTAGAAGTATCGAAAAACATTTATTGAAATTCAGGAGAATATTCCTTCTTTTCCCCTTTTACGAACATAAATGCTTTTTCCAGCAAGCATTCTTGGCCGCCTCGATTGTCCGCATCATTATAAGTTATTCATTCAGGAACGCTTTTTCTTCTTACGAATTAGAATTCGTTCTATGCATTTCTTCAGAACAAGTTCACATTTCCATACAGACGAATGCTTAATTAATAAAAATCTCTGCTTCGATTATCATTTATGTCCCCACAAACTATAACGATAAAATATTTCTTTTATGATATTCAAATAAATTAAAACAGACTCAATTTCTCGATCAAAAAACATTTTCATCAAGAAATATCAAGCTGATTTCTATATGAATGCAATTGATAATAAGGAAAAAATGAAAGTTAAAAAAAAAAAAGATTCTTAATAATTCTGTGAGAACATGGACGGACGTATCCAGCTATTGAAATAGCAGCAAACAAATGGTTAATATATTGTTGCAAATATATGTTACACAGAGGTGAATTGGCTAACAAAGTTCTACAGCTCCTGAAAAATGATCAGAAATGTGAAATCGCATAATTTATGAACGGAATGGGAGCTGAACGAGTCGGCGAGAAAATTGAACTTGCTCTGAAGATGATCGTTCGGCACATGCCCTCGATCTTATCAGTTTTCAAGGATGGATCGTGTACGTTCTTTCTCAATTTTTCATCCTTCATAAGGCGCGATCGAGATCCCAGGAAA